GGACCCCCAATCCATGCGGGTACGGGTACGGGATAGGCGCGCAGTTTGCAGGCGGGACGCTTGGGGATGGTGGTGTCTGTGTGTGGTGTTGCAGTTACGGTACGCGGTACACCCCGCATGGGGGGACGGGATGGATGGTCGATGGGCGAGGTCTAGGCCCGGCCGTGTGGCGCCCGGGTGGTCTGATATGCCGGGGTCCCTGCCAAGGAGGCCCGGAACGGTCTGGAATGTTTTTTCTTTCTTTTCCTTTCTCTCTCTGCGTATCATCTCCTCCGCACCTGTTCCACCGTCCACGAGGTACCGACGGGTCTAGAATCTATCCGTAGATAGATGGGACTTTTCGTCTGAAGCTGAAAGGGTTTCCGCTGTTACGCCTGTGCACTCCTGGCCCACACCGTGACCGTTGGGATTCTTTGCTCCTCTTTCTTGGTGGTTTTTTTTTTTTTCGGGGGGGTGGGCGGGTTTCCGAAAATTCGGCCGGGGATAGTGTAGTGGTGGTGAAAGTCGTCGGTTCGTAGGGCTGGATGGATGGGTATTCTGCGCTCCACGGAGTTTGTCGTCGGATTGTCCACCGTTTGTATTATCAATCTTCCACTGTGACTGCAGAGAGATGACGGGTTGAAAGCGATCTATCGCCGGTGGATCTCGACATGACGGGAGGAAAACATCTGGAGAGATGATCCGAGAGATCGGCGAACGTTGGGAGGGCGGCGGCGGCGGCGGCGGCGGGGAATAGGATGGTCGATCAGTGATCGTCTTCTGGGGTTTTGACGTCGATGGAGGCTTTGAAGGAGGAAACAGAAGGAAGAAGGGTATGCGAGAGAGAGAGCGATGCGTCTGATGTGGGAAGCCACGAGAGTTTATGCTCCTGCAGGTCTATCCGTACCATCCAGCCCATCGTACCTTGGACGAGAAAATGGGATGGGAAGAGGGGGGCTGGCGCTGGCCGGCAGCATGGGCCAGACTGGACTCTTGTTTGTGTAAGCGGCTTGTGCTCTTTGAGCTTCCGAGGCCGTTGATGGAAGTCCGGGCCAGGACCAGACCAGCCCATGACGGGGCCCATGATGAGCCCAGACTCCCGCGGCCGAGGTGCTTGCTGACGATGAGTTTCCTTTGGCCGCTAAGTAAGGTAGGTAGGTCACGTAGGTAGGTACTCGTTTGGCTGCGAACCGAAGCCGACCAGGCGAGATGAGACGAGACCAAGACTTTTCGAGAAAGCACGGGATTCAAGGGAAATGGGGTAGCGCCAGTTCTTGGCATGTTGCTCGAATGAAGGAAATTTGACATGGAACCAGAACGGGGGACAGAGCGGGAGGTTTCCGTTTGTGACTTTCCAGCGTATAGAGATATGTGAGGCTTGCGCTGTACGGACTAACGTATGGTTTTTTTGACTTGCGGGTTAGCGGGAGGGTTTGTTCGAGGCTAGTCTGGCTCCAAATTTCTGGAAGGGGGATTCTTTACCGATTGAAGAGGCAAGCGTGAAAAGATTCTAATTAGAGGGATCTGAGGGACCGGACAGCAGGCGACAAGACGGCGAGGCGACCGCAGCGAGAAACGAAACTGTTTCGCTCACCAAACGGTTCATTGAGTGAGAACAACCACCGTAATCCGGTAACCCCGACGGCAGGGCATCGTGTCTATACTGTGCTGCTGTTAAGTTTAGTTTTTTTTTTTTCTGCATCCTGCAAGGCATGGGATGGGGAAGGGGCAGGGCACAAGGAAGCAAAGAATCTCGTTACAAGGGAGGGGGGGAGCCTGGAGGGTAGACTGCTTCCTGCAGGGTGCGGCTAAGTGTGGGCGAGACTGCGGTCCATATGACGGAGGTGGTGTGTGTTTTGGGTTGTTACACATACACACACAAATGCAGACATGCAGACACACACTTACACGCACTTACAATGTATGCGAACCGCCAGCCGCTTTTGCCCTTCCTCCCACGGGAACTTGCAGCGGGCCTGGGCCCAGCCTTTTTTCTTGTTGGATCGGTCTAGACTTTTTTTCTTCCTTTCCTTCTTTCTTGGTCCAAATCGGCGTGGGGATCCTGTTGTCCCTCTTTCTTCTTGTGTTTTCTAGAGACCAGGGTGATGTTGGAGGGCTGATTATGGCGAGGTGAGCTCGTATTGTAGAGAGAGCGCCGCACAAAGGTGCCAAAAACGAAGGGAACCAGTATATCGGAAAAGTCGATGCCGAGTAAATGGGACAAGACAGGATAGATTGAGACACGTTTGCGTAGAACCTTTGCCGTCGCTCATCGTCCTGGCGTAGATGTAGCATACTATCGAAGGTTTTCTGAGATGTGATGGGAGGATTAGAAAACGCTTATATAGTGGGCTTCGGGCCGGGGTCAGGTCTCTCAAAGTCGCAATGTCTGCCAACCTAGATTAGGTCTGCTCGGGGTTCTTGTACCTCTCAGGCTCTCATCGTTATGTTTCGTGCCAAGAAAAGGGGTGAACGAGTGTTCCAGTTCAAGGAAACATATCCAGCCGCGGATTCACTCTGAATATCAGCCCGCCGGTGCCGCCCTGTTTTTTTTTTCCTTCCACCCCAGAACCAGCTCGTGGGGGATCGGTCTTGGGTGATCAGTCAAGTGTCTCGTGTTTGAGGCTGGCTGAATAGCCCAGGTGGGTGTGACCCTGGAGAACTGGAGAATGCTCCGTCGCAATCTCCCGGCGGCCTTTCTCACTCCCTTCGTTGATTTCTGGGAGAAAATCTGATTGCCTGGACTTACAACAGAATCTGTGTGAGTTCTTGGGTAGATAAGATTCCGCCCACGCGAGTGAGAGGTACTACAAGTATGGGGAAGGGGGAGGTTCGGTACAGTACCGCCTTTCTCACATACAATCAATATCAAAGACCACATTCCGTGTCCTAGGAACTGGTGGTGTGTGTCTTACCTGCTTATCTCGGCATTACCAACCGGGTTTTCCAACGGACTTCTCCCAAGCCTTCCGCCAGCGACGTGAGGGTTTAGAGAGTGCGAATACCTCGTTCATAGGTAGGTACTCCGTCATTTTAAAATGAGAAGCGAAGAAAAAGCAAAGAAAGAGATACACTAGAGATGGAAAGACTCATCGATGACCTGATTGTCTAACCCAATTAAGGGTGGCATTTTCCAAGCCATACGGGTCTCTGGGTGACAGTTCACGAGACAGGTGTCAGTCACTCGCAGAAAAATTGTGTACTGTCACTGCCTACCTCCCCAAGCGCCTTAATGCCCGTTGGTCAGAGGGTATTGAAAACATAACGTCTTCCGTTCTGCACCTGCACGTGTAAGTGTGAAAAGAGCCGTTTTCGTCCACTTCGAGGCATGTCGTGTAACGTCGTGCTTGTGTTGAGGATGCCTCATCGTCAACTGGTTCATTTTGACAAGTAGAAAATCGTGGAGTCCCGGCAGAGAAGGATTTCGTTGAATCCACTTTCCCACCTTGAATACGCAAATTGCGCCAGGCCGCACCTTTCTCTCCTAAGTCTAGAGGGCTGTCGGAGAGGACCTCCGCTTTGACAGCTGGTACACAATTTTGCATCGAAAAGGAGGCAATTGGAAAGAACAGAATTAGAATAGACCAGGTTCATCTGCATGTCGTATGTCACACGGCCGTAACAGCATATAGATTGCATAGACCGCTCTAGATCCCATTTACAAACACACGCGGGCAACTCTTGATATGACTTTTTGGCGTTTTAGTTCTCTTGTAAGAAGACTTGTCCACGACCCTATGAGTTTATGACGCTCTTTCAGTATTTCCCTCGTATCAGCACGTCCCAATGCGACTCCGAACTCTCTTCTGTCTCTGTACCTAAGAAATCTAAGTCTTACCGTCATGCACATTCTTCCAGAATTGAGACTACTGTAAGCCATGAATCCAGGGTCTGGGAATGTTGTTACAATTTGATCATCGACGTCTCCATCAAGCCTCAAAAAAGAAAAAGACAAAAACTAACTGGAGAAGAACATGCGATTCTCAAACCTGCTTTAGGCGTTTCCCATATCATCTGATGGTCATAGAGCCTAAAGTCTCAGCTAGTCCGGATACGTGTGGGTAACATACCCATGGGGGGGGGGGGGGGGGACAAAAGGGAGGACTCCAGTCAAAAAACAGACTGGCCTCGTATACAAAGCAAGCATGCATTATCATGCACGTCTTCGGAGGTGAGGTGGGCGTAAATAAAGCCAATCACACAGAGCCGCTTAGTTCCATTCAACTTCTCCCTTTCGTGTAACGGTCTGGACCACCAGCCGGTCCGACCCCATTACTTGGAAAACAAAACTTGTCAGCCGTTTCAACGTGCCACTGCCGTGAGCCATTTCCTTTTTGACCATACCGCATGCATCAGACGCAAAAGGTAGGTAGGCCTCGGCATGCTGTGGCGTTTGACTTTGTTTGGTAAAGTATGTTGACGTGCTGGCTCAAGGGGTTCGATCTTGGCTTTCGGGTGGTTTACTCCGGGATCTGGGACTTTATTTCGGTGTAAGTGGTCTGATTTCTGGATATGAGAAGGAATTATGCGGGATGAAGGGGATATGAAGAGGGATGAAATAGTTGAAAGGGACGGGTCAAGCTTCCGTCAAGCGCCGTTCAATATGAACACAAGCTTGGCCCTACGGCGCCTTGCAAGTGGCTGGCTGTATCATATTTTTTTTGCATTTCTCATATCCTCATATCCAGAGTGTAACTGCTTTGAATGGCTGAGCAGATGGGTAAAATCATAGGTGAACACTGCAATCAGAAGTAGCCCTTGAGGGGCAGCATTATTCATGTACTAAATATATAACACTTTGCTGGCCTGAGCCGCTTCCTAGCAGCAAATCTCTGTTGTCTACTGACTTCTCACCTACAAACAATCCACCATTTATCTACAACGTGAACAGATCTCCGATTTACAACCAATTTTAGAAGAATTCAACGATAGTGATTCTATTTCTACCCCTCGAATTCTTGTCTTCTCGAAATGTAAACTTTGAAAACCAGTTGCATCTCATAAGGACCGTATCCTATGGCCTATCCCCTGTGTCTGTGTCTCAACGTGTTGCGTATTTTCCGGTAGCTTTTGGTGGCCTCCTTCAAAACCATCGTTGCTAAAGCACCACCATGACCACCAACTTCTCTGCTTTCACGGGCTGTCTGAATGTACTCGCCTCTATCTTGCCCATGCTCTCCAACATTGACAACGATTCTAGCGTATTTGATGAGGATTGCATTAAGAATGAGCCGGCACATGCGCCCATTGCCATCTCTGAATGGATGAATATTGACGAACCGATCGCAATACTGTGCAGCTGTTGCAAAAGGATCGAGCGATTGTGATCTCTCACACGTTATCAAATGCTGTTGAAGGCTCAGGGTCATCGATTCCATAGCCTCGGAGGTCTTATTCGGGTGGATAAATCTGGTAGTGCCCACGAAAACGTCTTCGACACGGTAGATGCCACCAAACTCTTTGCTACTGAGTATGCCGGCAGCTTCGCCACTAACCCCTTTGACGAGTATAGCGTGTGTGTCTTTGATCAGCGGCTCGGTCATTGGCTTTCCTTCACGGATGAACTGATTGATGATATGTTGAAATGCAGCAGCATGCTGAACGACCTCCCTCCGACTTCGAAGAACATGGTGCTCGCCAGGAAGTACGTCTTTCCGTACCAGAGCGTCAAGCCGAGCCTGGTACTCTTCTGTTCTGTGAGATGTCTTAGTAAAATGTCTCCAAGATAGTACAAGCTGTACTTTTGCTTACCGCTCGGTGTACTCTACGCCTGCGTTGCCTTCGAATATCATCATGCAAAGTTTCAGGGTGATGTCAAGGCCCAAGCCCTTCCTGGACTTTACATTGGAGGAGTAAACCGCCTCTGCCATCTGTTGCAGGAGAAAACTCGCGATATCGTCCCATCCATGTTTGGCTTTCCCCAATATCTCTTTAATCTCGTCCATGATTCTGGTAACAACGGAGAAATGTTCAGAAACGTCGACAGGTTGATCTTCAACCTTGGGGTCCATAGCCCAATTGTCTCCATAAACGCGGTAAAGATCACTCATTCTCATAGTAAGGTTTGGATTTCTGTAAACAAAATTCAGAATTTGCATCTCCAACAATACAATCTCCAAAGGTACTTACTTCGTAGGCTGAGTCTGCTGAGAGGAGGAGCTGCTTGACTTCAAGGTTTGACCGCCTCTAATGGTAGGCGGCCAGCTGTATCGAAAAGTCCCACGGAGCAGTGATTTCTTGACGCTTGTGCTTGGTGTTGACGATCGAATGACTTCAAGAGAACGGATAGCTTCAGATCTGGATTTCTTCGTTGGAGATTCGGGTTCAAGTGAAGATCCACCCTTCTCATCTTCACCCAAGCTCATGTCCCCGAAGTATCCAATGATGGACTTTCGTTTGGGAGTGCGGACAATGCTAGGGCTTTGAGGTGAGCCGGGAGTTTCTGGAGTAGATGCCATGGCGTTTGTTGTTCCAAAAGGTAGTCCGGGGAGTAATCGAATAACAAACTTCACTACCGTGGTGGAGTAATGTGGTCTTATATATGCATTGTCTGTGGAGTACGGAGCAGAGGTAAACTCAACGGATTCACTAAGTGCTGCTGATTCAGTGCATGAGATTTGGGTCAAGTGATTATTTGATTTCAGTCTCCGATGAAGAACCTTGTCCTAGGACATAGTCACGCATAATTAGGTGATTCACTCTCCTACATACTTTCTGTGGACCACTATTTCACACGAACTCCTGGAGATCAAGGTAACAATCGATTCGCTGAACAGGACCGCCGGGGACTGGCTAATTACGATAACTGCGTGGAAGAATAACATTCTTAAGCTTAAGATATTTTAATTTGCTCAGAAACCTTGAGGACCACCCCTAACCGTGGATTCACGGAAGTATGGGAACCTTTGCTATCTTCTGACCTCGTATCTTCCAAAGGTTAAACCACCTCTCGTCTTCTGAGTTTCCATCAAGACTACATAAAGCCGACAAGTTCCCTGAAATATGAAGACAGCTACAGAATCTCATCCAACTTCCCACCCTTACAGCAGGCTTACATCTCTCAATCCAACTTTGATATCCCAACTCAACTATCACCCCTCCAGCCCGCTCATATCTCTCAACACCATAATGGCGCCTTCCGACATTCGTTTTTTGGTTCTGTCGGATACCCACGACTCTGCCTTCCCATCGGAGCTCCCTCCGGCAGATGTTGTTCTCCACTGCGGCGATCTAACTATGATTGGCGGCATGTCCAATTACAAAGCTGCCATCAAAAGCCTTTCGAGTTGCGACGCTCAACTCAAGCTTGTAATTCCCGGAAACCACGATGTATCTCTGGATCCTACATGGTGGGCCAACAATGCAGATGAAGATGACGATCTTGAGGAGCCAAAGAAAGCGATTGACCTGTTCAACCAATCTGGAGTCAATCTTTTGAGCGAAGGATACCATTCATTCACTCTCAAGGACGGGCGTTCTTTCACTCTATATGCCTCGCCTTACACACCCGAGTTCAACGGATACGCGTTCTCATACGGTCCACACGAAGACAGATTCAACCCGGCCAAAACAACACTCTCAGACCTGGGCAAAAATGTGGTCCGTGGTCCGAAGCCACTCTCCTCGGAAGTCGATATCTTGATTACACACGGCCCACCACAGGTCCCATGCGAAGACTACCGCCTCGATGTCGACGGCAAGGGCGTCAATTGCGGCTGCTCAAAGTTATGGCAAGCGGTTCAACGCATTCGCCCACGAATTCACTGCTTCGGCCATCTCCACGAGGGCTACGGATCCCAAGTGATTGAATGGCGTACCAACGGGACACAAACAGTTGCAGATCCAGTTATCAAGGAAGGGAATATCATAAAGGCGCCAGAGAGAGAGGCGCGCAAGACGTTACTCGTTAATGCAGCAATCATGGATCACCACGGTCCAAACAACAAACCCTGGTTGGTGGACTACTAGACACACAGTGGCATTGGTCTTGTGACTCTTGTCTGGACGGGGTCTGGAGATAAGCAGCTTCAAGAAAAGCTGAAGGAGATAGGCAAAGGACGGTGCTGAGGTCTTTGGTCTTTGGGACCATCTCACTAAGAAAGAGCACGGCTTCGTTTCCGTTTCGCCAACTTCGTTGGATAATGAGATAGATACTTTGCTTCATGGTCTGTGGAATCTTATTCCTCCTAGCAGTCAGAACCACACTGGACCCAGACCCCCAAATTCATTTCCTGGATGTCTTAACACCACTAATGAACTCATTCATGGACCTTGAGTAATCAGAGATATGCATTCTTTACGTTTCAAAATCCATGTAAACTCCATCATAAGTCCATGTCAAGTCTAATTGAAGTCAGCAGACTATTCGGTGAGGCTCTTCACCGAGACAGACCGAGGGAGGGTTACCGCACGGCCCACCCCGCCTCAGGGCCGTTGAGTCACTCACCTTAAATTTCCAACTCCCAAGCTTGCGACTTGGCTTTGACTCACCACCCCGCGACCAACACAATAAATCCCCCAAAGCGCCCACCCACGCCCTTGCGATCCACCTTAGCACACGATGTCGCAGCAAAAGGGAAAGGCCGCCGCCGGCAAAGGCAAGAAGTCGGGCAAGGCTGGAGGTGAGGGCAAGCGCGAGGATGTCCTGCAGGCTGTGGTAAGTCTGAAGCGTCATGGTGGGGCAGGCACGGTGATGAGCGTCGAGTTGGCTAACCTGGTGGCTTTCCTTTTCGCCCATTGCAGCTCATCGCCGACTCCTTTCAAGATAGGTTTGCTCCATTCTCAGCAGAGAAGCCAAGAGTAAGTCATAATATATGGCCCGGAGCTATGCGACGTCGACTAACCGCCCGCCCGCAGTGCCTTCTACCCCTTGCAAACACGCCCCTCATCGAGTATACTCTCGAGTTCCTCGCCATGAACGGCGTCCAGGAGGTCTACATCTACTGCGGCTCCCACTCCGAACAGATCGAGAACTACATCAACACATCAAGATGGTCGCCCATGTCCATCCGAACCCCATTTACGAGCCTGCAGTTCATTCGCGTATCCGACGCCCGCTCAATCGGCGACTTCCTCCGTGACCTCGACGGACGCGGCATTATGGACGGCGACTTCATTGTGGTCCACGGTGACGTGGTATCCAATATCTCACTTGACGGCGCGCTGGCGGCACACAAGGCGCGCAAGGAGGCTGCGGCAACGAATATCATGACGGTAGTCCTGCGTTCAGGCGGCGCGGAGGAGCACAGAACGAAGCCCAACGGAATCAACCCTGTCTTCGTGATCGACTCAAAGACGAAGCGGTGCCTACACTACGACGAGATACATCCCCTCCAGAGCGACCACTACCTCACCCTCGACCCCGCTGTGATTGATGAGCTCTCGACCGACTTTGAGATGCGGGGCGACCTGATCGACGCGGGTATCGATATCTGCACTCCCGAGGTGCTGGCGCTGTGGTCCGAGAGCTTCGACTACGAGCTCCCGAGGCGGAACTTCCTGCACGGTGTCCTGAAAGATTGGGAGTTGAATGGCAAGGCGATCTACGCGGAGGTCCTCGAGGACGGCTATGCAGCGCGGGCGAGCAACCTCCAGATGTACGAGTCAATTAGCAAAGATGTCCTCGGCCGTTGGACATTTCCCTTTGTTCCCGACTGCAACGTCATCCCCGGCCAGACGTATAAGATGACCAGCGGCGCAGTCTGCGTCGAGGACGGAACGGTCATGGCGCCGACCAGCAAGATTGCCAGGTCAATTCTTGGCCAGGGAGCCACGGTAGGCGCCGGCAGCACAGTATCAAACAGCATCATCGGCAGGCGATGCAAGATCGGTAACAACGTCCGCATCGAAAACAGCTTCATCTGGGACGACGCCGTAATTGAAGACGACGCGGTCATCACACGCTCCATCCTGGCCGACTCAAGCATCGTGGGCAAGGGCTCGGTCGTCGCCGCCGGCTCCCTCCTCTCCTTTGGTGTCGTCCTCAGTGACAACAGCAAGATCCCCGAGGCCACCGTCCTCGCAGTCACCACATACAACGGCTCGCCCGTAAACCCCGACAAGTCCCTCGTCGGGCCCTCAGGCAAGGGCGCTCCTTACGTCGACCCAGAGGCCGAGGACATGGACGACGAGGACCCTTCCACCCTTCAGCGCTCTCTCCTCTATAATCTCGCCCACCTCAACCTCTCCACCTCGACAATCTCAACACTCTCCTCTGACATCGACGACGACGACTCGGACGCCGGCGACGGCATCACCCAATTCTCCGCCGACTCCCGCAACCGCACAGACTCGTTCGTCTCGGACGATTCCCAGGGCAAATCCGGCTTCCACCACGACGCAGTCCACGGTCTCCTGGACGCCCTCCGCGCCGAATCAGGCGACTTCGACTCCGCCAAGCTCGAATTCATGGGTCTCCGCCTCGCCAACGACGCCTCGGACGTGGCCATGCGCAAGGCCGTCGCCATCGCCTTCGCCCGCCGCGCCGCAGAGCTCCTCGAGCCAGAACACGGCGGTCTCGAGCCCGCAAAGGCCGCCGACAAGACCTTCAACTCCAACAAGGGCGCTTCAAAGTTTGTCTCCGAGGTCGGCGTCGGCGGCGGCGAGACGGAGCAGATCGAGTTCGTTCTCGCGCTGCAGCACGCTCTGCTCGGGTGCCGGAACCTCGAGCACGCGCGCGCCGGCGTGCTGCTCGCTGCCATGCTGCAGCAGCTGTACGGCTTGGACGTCCTCGAGGAGGACGGCATCCTGGCCTGGTGGGAGGACGAGCGCGCCGAGGAGGGCGGTGGCGAGGGCATGGCGGCGCTCAAGGAGAAGTGCCGGGTTCTCGTCGAGTGGTTGGAGGATGCTGATGAGGAGGAGGACGATTCGGAAGAGGATGACGACTAGGTGTTGGCATCTCGGACTGCGTCCCGGGAGTTGTGAAGGGGGCGCAAGCTGGTGACAG